TCCGCCGCCGCCCTTTGACATCTGTAGGGGAGGGTCAGGGCCAGTAAGGGAGAGGAGAGCGGAGGAGGAGGGAAGAGATGGGAGGAGGAGATAAAGACAGCAGGGAAGAGAGGAGAGGAGAGGAGAGGAGAGGAGAGGAGAGGAGAGGAGAGGAGAGGAGAGGAGAGGAGAGGGGGCTGGACAGAGATAAGAGGGGGTTTGGACAGCAGCAAGTTCAACTGACCTCATCGTTGACGCAGGCAGGAGACAGGAAGCCTGACAGGCGGATGTCTCTGCAGATAAGCTGTGCAAGGGTTCTCTTCTCTCCTGTGCTCCCGTCATCCTACACAAGAGGACAAGAGCTCTTCACCCCAGTAGCTCCAGTTGACGCTCCCGTGCGCGTGCTCGTCGTTCTCGGGGACTGGTCTTAAGTATGACTCCTCCACCTTGGTTGGCTGATCCTGCCCGACTTGCGGGGCCTCGAGCTTTGCGGGAGGGTCGCTAGACGTCTTGTCTTGGTCTCCCGCATTGTTGGCCAATTCTTCCCCAGCAGGTTGAGACGAGCTTTCTTGCTCCGAGGTCGGAGGACCTTGTACTGTCTTACCATCGTCCTCCATGAGCTTCAACGCTTGCTCGATATTGTGCTGTGAAGCCCTACGATGCTTCATACTCGCCTCCTGTCCAGAAAATCAGGGAGATGGTGGTGGTGGTCAAGAAGGTGGTGATGATGATAATGACGAAGAGGAGGAGGAAGTGCAAGATTAGCTACAGAAGGACGAGCAGAACTCACCGAGTAGGCAGCCGGATCTCTCGCTTTCCTCGCAAACTCTGCTGCTTCGGCATCGGTCGTTGGGGGTCCATCGCCCACATACCCCAAGTCTGCCACAGGATGAGCAGCAGGATGAGTGGAACAGGGCTGGAGGCACAAGTCCAGAAGCTCACCAGGATGATACGCGCAGGACTCCGTTGACAGGTACTCGATGCTGACGACGGAGGAGTCAGACCTGGTCCTCTGCACCTGCTCCTGCTCCTGCTTGTCGACCTTCTTTTCCTGGACCTGTTCCCATGCGTGAGGGCGCGAAGGCTCCATGGGAGCGCAGAGCTTCGTCACCTTGTCCGCCTCATCGTCGTGACGGGAGTTCGTGTCGGCACCTGCGTAAGAGGGGAGGGGGATGAGGGGAGGCAAAGACGAGGAGTGAAGAGACAGTCACCTTCCTTGACCACCTTCATGTTCCCGTCAACATTGAACTGAGAGGCGGGACTTGGTGCTTCGTCCTGCTTGATCACAATCACTTTTGACGTAGCCTGCTGCTGCTGCTGCTGCTGCTGCTGCTGCTGCTGCTGCTGCTGCTGCTGCTGCTGCTGCTGCTGCTGCTGCTGCTGCTGTCGGTGACCAACACCATCGTCGACTGCGTCCGAGTCATCGAACGACAGAGACTCCGAGCTGCGATCATGCACGTCCGTCCTCTCTCCCCTCGTCCTCCCGCCCTTCGTCAAGTCATTCTTCTTGATCCTCGACATCCCGTCGCGGTCGGGCGCCCCTGACCTCGTGCTGCTGTAGGGCGAAGGAAGGTGGCCCGGGGTGCTGGGCTTCGAGTACGCAGGCGTCTGCGACCTCGACTGGGGCCTCTGCTGCTCCCGCTCGCTTGTACTCCTCAAGTCAGAGGACTCGACCAGTTTCTTGTCTCTGTGCACGAGGCTCCTCAGGTGATTCATCTCCGTCTGAATCTTCTGCTGCTCCCGCAGACACTCGATCATCTCCAGCCTCGCAGACTTCAAGCGCCGCTGCTGCAGGAACAGCCGCATCTGAGCCTTGTGAATAGCGTTCTTGGTCTCCTGGTCGTAAGAATCGCCCCTGTCTCGCAGCCCTGACCCGGACATGTCGCTCGATCGGTCATGGTGGAGGGTCTTGGCCTGTATCTGCGCGAACTTCTTTGCCTCTGTCAGCTCCCGTTTCACAGCCAGCTCCTTCTTCCTCCTCCTCTTCGCCATCACTCGCGCGTTCTCGAGCTGCGACCTGAGCTCGGTGCGAGCTTGCGAGACGTACTTCTTGAAGTCTTCCTCCAAGTGCTGCGCTACCTCTGCCTTCTCGCTGATGATCATGAAAGCGTTGTCCTTCGTCCTCGCCAGATCCTGCAACGCCCGGCTGACGGCTTCCTGCTTATCGTGTAGAATGTCCCGCCACGCCACCGACAGCTCCTGGTTGTCAAGAAGTTCGTTCACGTAGCTGTTCCAATCTGTGCTGTCACTCTCCCTGTTGGACAACACGGTCAGCAGCGAGCGAGACGACAGCATCCCCGCACCAGTCGTTGAGTCCGCCATACTCGTCGTAGTCGTTGGAAGAAGACAAGTTGGAACTGCTGGTATGCAGGCGGGAGGAGTCTACGTCAACGTAGGACCTGTGCAGCCATCAGCTTCTCCTCTCCTCCTCTGCCACTGCAAGGGAATTGTACCTCCCATCAAACTCTCCGGAGCTGTTTCGATACGGCTTCGCATACCTGAGACGGTCACTTAAGACACCAACTGGAACAAACAGTCGCAAGGACCACCTGTCCTCTTGTCTCGGCAGTCTCTCCCGACTGTCGGAGGGAGTTCCTCTCTTGTCGCGTATGGGAGAGGGAAAGGAGTTTCTCGGGAGCAAGGAGTTGCTCTGACGAATGTGTTCTGACCTCATCTCTCCTGCTCCACAAGAGCAGGGAACGCGTTTGTGCTCCTGGCACGTGACCATCACATTAAATTCCAAACACCCGGCATGCTCCCTCATTTGCTTCTACCGTCAACTGCCGTACCCCTTGCTCCTGCTGTCTTCTCATGTCCTTACAGCGTCCATGTCGTACTCCTCAAAGTCCTCCTCTTTGCTCTGCACGTCTCAACTGCACACTACTTTCGTTGCTCTCAAGAGCAACAAGCATGGACTTTTCCATACCATTGCCTCGTCTCACTCTTCCATCTACCGATCCCCTCCCCCATCCCCCCCACCTCTTCTTCCTCTCCTCTTCCTCTTCCTCTTCCTCTTCCACTTTCCCCCCTGCATGTTAACCGTCAGTCAAGCATTTAGCAGGCGTTTTCTTCTCCCCCTCCCTGTTAGGTACGAACTTCTCCCCGTGTTGTAGCACAGGTAGCACCTGGTCATACCATACGTACGGTTGTGATTAGGTACGATACGAACTGGTCTCTGATATGTCTCTATGACATAGTAGCAAAGTTCCTAGGACATAGTTTAAGTACGATAGCTCCTACAGCCAGGGCCAGACAGACAGTCATCTATAAGACCCAGTAAAGTACGCTAACACCAATGAAGTCCTAGCATCATAGGACCTTCCCTACGTATTACTTAGCCCATATCTTAGAGAGGGGGACTTCCGGGTCACCAACGGGGACTAGATGTGATGGCCCCCAGGACCACCCCCCACCCATCTCAGACACCGCCAAAGTACCCGTCACTTTGTGGTTCGAGGCTCCGGCCCGGCCAGTAGAAGGGAAGTTCAGTGAGAGGCCAATCCGGCGGCCGGCACCAGGCCCCGGGTACCGGACGAAGAGGAGCAGGAGCAGGAGCAGGAGCAGGAGCAGGAGCAGGAGCAGGAGCAGGAGCAGGAGCAGGAGCAGGAGCAGGAGCAGGAGCAGGAGCAGGAGCAGGAGCAGGAGCAGGAGCAGGAGCAGGAGCAGGAGCAGGAGCAGGAGCAGGAGCAGGAGCAGGAGCAGGAGCAGGAGCAGGAGCAGGAGCAGGACTCCGGGAGCAACACCTTGATCAAAGCATGGTCGAAAGCATTTTTTCGAACCGAATCCTCAAAATCTTCTTCTTCGAGGATCTTCGACTGCGTCAAATACACAAAAAAATCGCTGACCGCTTCTCCTCTCCCTGTCTTTCCCCCTCAAATTTTCCCTCCTACTCTCCCTCTCGTTCTCCCCCTTCATCTGCCCTTCTCTTTCCCCCATCTCCCTCTCCATATCCTTCTCCCTCCTCACTCACCATGTTCATCGACATCAAGATGGAAAATTTCTCAACGCTGAAATACTCTTGCGCAACACCTTCACCTGCTTGAGCGGAAACATCTTCGACCCTCTCCTCCTCCTATTTCACACTGTCAACAGATTCATCCATCTTCCCCACCATCTGCCGCTCGTTCCCTCCTCGTTGGTCTCCTCAGTTTTGCTACCCTTTGCTCATTTCTTCTCCTCTCTCCTCTCCTCTCCTCCCGGCTCCTCTCCTCTCCTCTTAACTCCTCTCCACTACACTTAATCACTAACACTCTAACCTCTCGGCTCTCCCCGTCTCCTCCCCTCCCCTCTCCTCTCCTCCTCCTCTCCTCTCTCTCTCTCCTCTCCTCTCCCTCCTCTCCTCTCCTCTCTTCTCTCCTCTCCTCCCGTCTCCTCTCCTCTCCTCTCCTCTCCTCTCCTCTCCTCTCCTCTCCTCTCCTCTCCTCTCCTCCTACCCTGAACGGAAGGGGCTCATATGACAACGGTTGCTGCAGCATGGATCGCTTCCATGGAACCCGCTGTGAAATGTTAGAGGAGAGAGGAGAGAAGGGAGAGGTGGGAGAGCAGGAGAACAAGTGGCTTCAGCATGAGGCACGGACCTCTCGGAGCTTCGGGATCGTAGCTGCTGTCTGGTTGGCAAACACCTCCTTGGAGATCTTCTTCTCGATCCCCGTTGTCAACATCACACGCATCGCCCTGTCCTGCGCCGCCTGCTCCCTCCCCGCGAAGCTGCGGGGGCGACCGTAACCCAGCGGTTGCTGGTGAGTCTCGAACTTCTCCCTCATCTCTTGACGACGGTCGTCGGTGAGCTTCGCGTCCAACGTCGAGATCTTGATGTCGCTGAGCCTGCAGATCTCCGTCAACCCACCGCACAGCAGCAAGCGCACAGCAGCAGGGGCCTGCTCCCATGCCTGCCCTCGAGCTCTTTGACCATGGTTTGATCGCTGATGTGGTGGCGTTGTGGATAACTGGAGGAGTACAGTCCCATCAGCTGCCTCTCCACATCTTCACCGCTCTCCTACTCTCATCTTCTGCTTCAAAGTTCGCTCGTAAACGCGATGCTCCTGTTTATCCATGGGCCTTTGAAAGCGCCCATCGCAAGGATCCTCACCAGCACGCGGATCAGCAGGCAGGAGCCATGATGGCCGGACAGCCTTGGCCGCCACGTTGTGCCATGTTGACTCACAATGTGCTTCTTAAACACGTTCCCGACCTCTCTTCCCCCTGATCCTGTTGGAGGAGGTGAGATGACAGATGTATACAGAGTTTGCCTTTGGTACACCTTCCTAGCTTATCTACACTCCTTGCAGCGATCCCCCGCACAACTAATCGTTCTGGCATTCCGAGGGGGGGGGGGCGGCCGTGCCCGGCCCGGTGGGCGGCCGTGCCTCAGGGGCCAGGATGCAGCCGCCAGAGGCTGCCCCGGCCCGCGAGGCGCCTCGGCTCAGCCGGGCTCGGACCGACTGACCGTGACTCACTGTCAAGCAAGGCCTTGCTACATACTCGGAAGCCTTTTATGTACGTCTCTGACGCTTCTGCTTATGAGTACCTGAGCCTATTCCTACGGATACTTTGAGCTTCAAGTACTGGACAGTGAAAGCCACTCAGCGCCCATCACAAGCTTCCCCACACGAGCACTGTGGTGTCGTCTGATCCTGATACAAGCATGCTGCCGTCCTCCGACCATGCGACATCAGTCACGCTCTTGGTATGTCCTCGAAAGCACTTGATCTCCTTCCCGCTCCTCGCCTCCCACACCCTCACCGTGCAGTCGGATGATCCTGAGGCGAGAAAGCTCCCGTCCCTTGTCCATGCAAGGCAGGTGACGCTTCCTTCATGTCCCGTGCAGCAGCTCACTCTCCTGCCGCTGCTCATCTCCCACACCCTCACAGTCTTGTCCTCTGACCTCGACGCGAGCATGCTCCCGTCTCTCGACCATGCCACACCAGTGACTTGGTCCTGATGTCCCTTCAGCCACCGCCACTGCTTGCTGCTCCTCACTTCCCACACCCTCACAGTGAAGTCCGATGAACCTGCAGCTAACAACTTGTCATCCTGAGACCACGTCGCATCTGTGACTATCACGAGATGCTCTTCAAAGCATCTCAACATCTCGCCGCTGCTCATGTCACATACACTCACTTGCCCTTCAGACGTGTGGGTCGCAAGCATGCTCCCATCGTTTGACCAAGCAATGCGCGTCAATCTGTGTCCTTGCAAGCATCTGATTTGTTTACAGCTGCTTCTCTCCCACACCCTGACCGAGCTGTCCCATGACAAGGCAGCGATCAACTTGCCATCCTTCGACCACGCAACCTTTCTGACAACAGATACGTTTCCCTCAAAGTGTCCTATCTCCTTCCCGCCAGGTTCTTCCCATGCTCTGACCGTGAAGTCGGATGCTCCTGCAGCTATCATCATGCCCCCTTCTTCAGACCACATAACGCTTATGATACTGTTTTCATCTTCTTCCGTGCACCACACCTCGTTGCCGCTGCTTGCCTCCCATGCTCTGACCGTACCGTCCGATGACCCCGCGACCATCCAGTCTTGGTAGCGCCCGCTCACATTCGTCAAGGCGAGGCACGTGATGCTGCTGCCTTGTCCCTTGAAGCACCATACCTGCTGGCCGCTGCTTGGCTCCCATGCTCTGACCGTACCGTCCGATGACCCCGCGACTATGCGGTATTGGAAGCTCTCGCTCACGTTCAAGCTAGTCAAGGCGAGACACGTGATGCTTCTGCCTTGTCCCTTGAAGCACCATACCTCGTTGCCGCTGCTTGCCTCCCATGCTCTGACCGTACCGTCCGATGACCCCGCGACTATGCGGTATTGGTAGCGCCCGCTCACATACAAGCTAGTCAAGGCGAGACACGTGATGCTTCTGCCTTGTCCCTTGAAGCACCGTACCTCGTTGCCGCTGCTTGCCTCCCATGCTCTGACTGTACCGTCCGATGACCCCGCGACTATCCAGTCTTGGTAGCTCCCGCTCACGTTCAAGCTGATCGAGGCAAGGCACGTGATGCTGCTGCCTTGTCCCTTGAAGCACCATACCTGCTGGCCGCTGCTTGGCTCCCATGCTCTGACCGTACCGTCCGATGACCCCGCGACTATCCAGTCTTGGTTGCTCCCGCTCACGTTCAAGCTAGTCAAGGCGAGGCACGTGATGCTGCTGCCTTGTCCCTTGAAGCACCATACCTCGTTGCCGCTGCTTGCCTCACATGCTCTGACCGTACCGTCCGATGACCCCGCGACTATGCAGTATTGGTTGCTCCCGCTCACGTTCAAGCTAGTCAAGGCGAGGCACGTGATGCTGCTGCCTTGTCCCTTGAAGCACCATACCTCGTTGCCGCTGCTTGCCTCACATGCTCTGACCGTACCGTCCGATGACCCCGCGAATATGCAGTATTGGTAGCGCCCGCTCACGTTCAAGCTGATCGAGGAGAGGCACGTGATGCTGCTGCCTTGTCCCTTGAAGCACCATACCTGCTGGCCGCTGCTTGCCTCCCATGCTCTGACCGTACCGTCCGATGACCCCGCGACTATGCAGTATTGGTAGCTCCCGCTCACGTTCAAGCTGATCGAGGCAAGCAACGTGATGCTTCTGCCTTGTCCCTTGAAGCACCGTACCTCGTTGCCGCTGCTTGGCTCCCATGTTCTCAACGCGGCATCATCTGTCAGTGCTGCAATCACTTCCAGTTTCGGAGAGACCATTACGTTCTTGATCTTGCTTGTATGATCTGTAAAACATCTGATCTCTCCCCATGTCGTATACACACTCGCATCCTCCCTTGCAAATGGTGAGCTGGTTAGGACCGGATTGACCCTTGAATGCAAATGTCTGTTGATTGATGTTTCAACTCTTGCTTGGTCTACTTTCACTGTCAGCACATCTTCACTATCTGACAAACACTCACCTGCTGATGTGCGGGGGGGTAAAGGGGGCAACATCTGGTTGCGGTCTACGAGCAAACTGATGGCTACAGCAGCAGCAGTCGGCCTAGTCAACTCATCGTAGTCTAGACAGCATAGGGAGAGCTGCTTCCACACTTGATCGCCTGGCAACCCTTTCAACACTTCAGCTTGCTCCTCTCTGCTTGCTGGCGGCTTCTCTCTGGTCATCACATACATCATGACAAGACCGAGGGAGTACACATCCGACGCAAAGCTCGCAGTCCCTCCCGTCCTTTGCTTTGGGGACATCCAGCACAAGTCTCCTTGCTTCACCGACCCTGTCGCCCTCGCGATCAGCTGCCTTGTCTTGTGGAGCTCAAACCCCACGAGCTTCGCCATGTCGTCAGCCTCAACCATCACATTTTTCGGCTGCAAGTCTCCGTGTACCATGCCGAGCAAATGCAGGTACGCAAGCCCGTTCGCCAGCCCTTGGATCACCGCACGCCCTCGAGCCTCTTGCTCGCTCGCATCGGCAGGTTTGAGAATCAGGTCCACGAAGCGATCGAGGGGCTGCTGCTGCATCTCCGTCAACAGCAGGTACCAAGGGTCTCCATGCTCGTCCGACAGGATGGCGCCGACAAGGCGAACGACGTTGAGGTGAGACATGCTGAACAGAAGCTTCGTCTCTCGCAAGAACTCCTTGCGCATCGATACATCGCCGTCAAACACTTGCGGGTCGTGTGGCTCCAGCACCGCTACCTCAGCTCCCTCATACCTCGCATGGTATACCACTGCGAAGCCTCCCGTGCCGAGGATCCGCTTCGGCTTCCCTCGACCAGATGTCTCCACCTGAAGCTTCGAAGGGTCGAGCGCCCATGCTTGCTCCTCTGCCTGACTTACATCTCCATCTACAGCTGCTTTCATCTTGCTGTAAGTGGGATTGTTTCCAAACATGAGCTTTTCTACCTCCTCTCCCTCCTCCCCAGCAACATACCCAGCAAGAGCACGCATGAGCCTTTGCACTACTGAGAAAACTTCCGACCTCTTGCCTGCTAGCTCAGCCTCAAGCTTGCTCGTGCTTCCAAGCAAACGATCTAAGGGAAGAGGCTCGCCCGAACGGGTCTTGCCTTTCTTCTGGATGAACACACGCAGGGCGGATAGGATGCAGCAAAGCTCATTGATGGCAACATCAACGAGGCCCTTGACCTCCTTGTCGAGTTGTTGGTACTCTTGACGGAGCAGAGGGTCAACAATCTCCTTCACTTCGATCGCAAGATCGCGGAGCTCCTTCTGGTTGTTGGACACCACGTGCGCCTCTTGCCACAGGCTGACCAGGTTTGATCGTATCAATACAAGAACATCTGACATGTCGGATAACCTGGGAAAAGATATCAGATATCGATCGAAGGAGCTCAACATGAGGTTAACAGGAATGAATGCTCGTCGAATAGCAGATTAAAGGGTTTGCCTCAAATACTATTCACTCCTGAGCAGCTACGTATACCTCTCTTCGTGGGAAAATATTCTTTTCAAATCAAGATCAGGAAATGATTTGTCCTACTCTTCTCTCCCCGATCTTATGATCTTTGCTCTCTTCTAGAAATACTACTATACTCTGATGTACATAAATATTCCGGTGAGTCGTATAGTCTTGTAGTCTTGTAGTCTTGTAGTCTTGTAGTCTTGTAGTCTTGTAGTCGTGTAGTCGTGTAGTCTTGTAGTCGTGTAGTCGTGTAGTCTTGTAGTCTTGTAGTCGTGTAGTCGTGTAGTCGTGTAGTCGTGTAGTCTCCTGGTCATGTAGTCGTGTAGTCGTGTAGTCGTGTAGTCTTGTAGTCTTGTAGTCTTGTAGTCTTGTAGTCGTGTAGTCTCCTGGTCATGTAGTCGTGTAGTCGTGTAGTCTTGTAGTCTTGTAGTCGTGTAGTCGTGTAGTCTTGTAGTCTTGTAGTCTTGTAGTCTTGTAGTCGTGTAGTCTCCTGGTCATGTAGTCGTGTAGTCTTGTAGTCTTGTAGTCGTGTAGTCTTGTAGTCTTGTAGTCTTGTAGTCTCCTGGTCATGTAGTCTTGTAGTCTTGTAGTCTTGTAGTCGTGTAGTCGTGTAGTCTTGTAGTCTTGTAGTCTCCTGGTCATGTAGACTTGTAGTCGTGTAGTCTCCTGGTCATGTAGTCGTGTAGTCTTGTAGTCTTGTAGTCGTGTAGTCTTGTAGTCGTGTAGTCTTGTAGTCTTGTAGTCTTGTAGTCTCCTGGTCATGTAGTCTTGTAGTCTTGTAGTCTTGTAGTCTCCTGGTCATGTAGACTTGTAGTCTTGTAGTCTTGTAGTCTTGTAGTCTTGTATGTTGCGAGGTAGCTTCATGCTTGACCGAGCTCTCCTTCCAAAAGCTGCAGCCGCGGTGATCCACTCCTACTCCACCCCTCCAGTATATCCTAAACACCCCCCCCCGCTCCCCCCCCCCCTCCCTTGTATACCAGATCCACCCCTCCGACAGATTGGGCCTATCTCGGTGACTGTGCCTCATGCCGGTTCAATGCAGCGAGTGCGAGGTGCTGCAGCTGCTGATGCTCCCGCGCCTTCACCTGCTTGTGCGACAGGTGTACATCGAGAGAGGAACGAGCGACTCGTCGAAATGCGTAAGCCTTGTGCTGTCGCTTCTTGTGCAGCTGACTTGAGCGAGGAGGCGGTGAGCATGTCTTGAATCGACCATTGTTGGGTTCTTTCCTTGAACTCTGGTTGGGTTAACGAGCATGACTGACTGAATGTACTGACAGTATGTGAGTTACTTGGACGAGCATGAGCAACTTGCCTGTCCCTCACTCTCACCCGTTGTCGCATGTACGCACTCGACCTCTCGGCTTCATTCGGTTTCCAGCGGGTAAACATGACGAAGAGGAGGCGGAGAGGAGGTGGGATGGGGTGGAGGGGGAGGAGAGGAGAGGAGAGGAGAGGAGACACTTACTACATGCTGGTTATCGTTATCGGTATATGCGTGTGGCGGACTCGCGTGGCTGTTGGGGCTGGTAGTGGGTGAGTGAGAGGGAGGAAGGAAGAGGAGGCGAGGGCTGACTGAAGACTTCGATGCCGCATGGAACAATTGTTGGACTGTGAACCGAGAAGGCGGTGAGATGAGAAACAATCGCTATTTGGAGCTCTGACGAAAGTTGTTGATATGGGTGTTTCGGATTCTGAATGATTCGTTGAGGAAATGCAGCGGGTGAGTTGAAACAGTCAGTTACAAGCCAATGAGATGAGACTGACACATGATCTGCTGTTTCGAACTTGTGATCCGGTGGACATGTTTCGAACAGAACGTGAGTGCTAGAATTAGAGACGTTGATTCATTCATCGCAAAGATGCTGACCCGAACTTTGATTCTTTCATGTCACTTGGGGGAATGCGTTTGGGATCGGGACGACAACAGCTGGTGAGAATGCGAGAGGAAGAGGAGCCGATCGTCAAGAGTCTGAAGTGATTGCTCTGGTACTTGCTGTCATGGGATCGCGGGGACTGCGGGGCGAAAGCGAGTGAGGATTCCACAAGAGAGGGGAGAAGAGACTGACGGATCGACCTTTCTGACATGCGATACCTTGACGGATGGATGCTTCGGATGCCTCGACAGGAAGTCAGTTACATGTGCTTGTGGTTGTGATGGGGTTGGGGAAGGGGGGGTGGGAGGGGGGGCACACAGAGTCAGAGAGACACTGGGTGCAGTCGGGAAGGAGGATGTGGGGATTGAGGAGGATGCTCTGAAACGAAGCCTCACTGACTGATTGTTCCTCATGTATCGCTTGTAATCGCAATGGGTGCTTGTCGACAGGCGGTATTTGCATCTGTGTGGCTTGATAGGAGGGATGAATGACTCGCGTCTGTTGTATCAAATGGTGATTTCTTACGGATCATTCGGTAACGTCACTTACAGCGGGTACATGGCCGATCTTTAACTTGTCCTGCTTCTGACTAGTTTTCTTTGTTTTTTCCTTGTTCTTGACATGACAGTGTTGTGTAAGTTCTATCTCCAAGGAATCTTCATTTTCAATGACGAAACAAATTGCATACTCGAGAGACTGTCGCTGAGATGTTATCTTTCAGAATGTGAGTCCACACACTTGTCCCGATTGCCTTTAGTCCCAGTCCGTGACAAGATGTGTTTCAGTGCCTCAAGATAAGCGGATGGCCCGATTATGATGAGGTGAATCGAGAGCGAAGGTGATGTCTAAAGCAACTGAACAACATGTGTGTTGTAGGATGGGTGTGAGTTGTGCAAGCAACGACGGGAGATAGAGTCGAAGCAACAAGATTTTTGGGAGAAGGAGAAGCAGAAGAAGGAGGAGCGAGAGGAGCGAGATCGATTGAAGAACCTAGACAGGTGCTGCACAATACGGCGAGCCGTGCAACTGGCGACTCGTCATTGGAGAACAGCTGAGAGCAAAGGCGGGTACACACTGCAGCTGGATGAAGTGACCGCAAGGTTCTGCTGCCAAGAGTTCGAAGTTGGACAGGACGCTCACGACCTTGTGCTTGCATTGATCGACCACCTGAAAGGCGAGGAGCATGAGGCGTACAGTCATGTGCGCATGGCTTGGCAGCACGTGAGGTCGCAGGAGAACAGACATGTCGCCATGCAAGCTGAAGTGATGAGATGTGTGAGCGAAGAGAGCGAGGAAAGAGGAGGATCACTGAGCGAAGTCATCAAGAAGCGCGACAATGCCCGGCAGGAGCTGATAAGAGCATACCATCAGCTCGTAGAGACTCTGACTGAACAACGTCAGGAGACTTTGAAAGTTTTCGCGACAAGTCTCGAGCAGTTCGCCTGTTCAGCAGGCAATCTGCTGGACTACCTGAGACGAGGCGGATCTGTTGCCTTGCCGGGCCCCGATGAGCCAGAGGACGGGCTTGCAAGTCAGTCGTCGCTCTCGTCTGAGCATCTCCGAACGCAGGCAGAAGGAGCGACATCCAGAGTTTCTCAGTGGGTTCAGGGTGTTTGTGCAAGGTTGACCGCGGCGAGACAGGAGCGAGAGGAACAAGCTCAAGTCTACGCTGAGGGACTTCGGCGACTCTCATGCTTGTTGGACGGAAGTGACTCAGATCTCAGTGTCGAGGAAGCAACGAAGCTCGAGCGCTCACTCCCGGAGGTGCACATGGCGCTGGAGAGCATGTACCTGTCCGAAGAGGAAGTCTGGTCTGACCAGTCGCTGATCCACTCGTTTCCCATGCGCGACCTCGTGGAAGTGCTGCAGATGTCTTGTGCATGGGGACAGGAGGTGCTGTTCAACTTAGATCAGATGTGCAAGGTTGAAAGCGTCAAGGCCAAGGTGGTTGAACTCGAGGGCCTGCATGACCCTGAGGAGCTTCTCGAAAGGCGCACGGAGCTCAAGAAGGCAAGAGACGATGCGGAAGACGAGCTGCTGGACCTGCGGACTCCCCTGGAAAAGCTGCAGAGGAGAAGGCTTTCAACTCAGGAGCTTGAAGAGAAGATTGAGAAGGTGAGAAAGCAGCTGCTACTTGCCGTGAAGGAGCTAGAGGTTCAAGAAGATCGCCTATGGAGGCTTCTTCACTTCTACCCCGAGTACACGAGGCACCTCAAGGAGGCAGTGGAAGGAGAGAGCGTCGGATTGCCCGCAAGCTACGAGAAGTTTGACATGTTCGAGGTGGTCGAACGGTTGTCGCAAGCCGGGCACATGGGCAACCGTCACAATGTGTTCCGAGTGAGGCAGGGGGAGGAGGAGTTTGTGATCAAGGAGTACAGCCTGATGGAGGGGCAGCGAACGCGGAAGCGCTTCATGCTAGAAGCGAGCATTCTGCATCGCCTGGAGCACCCTTACCTAGTCAGACTTAGCAGCGCGTTCGTGGAGGAGAGGCACGAGCATGGTGTTATGACCGTGAAGGGGTACCTTAAGATGCCCTTGTACGTCGGTGGGAGCCTGTGGAGCTGGATGCTGCGAGCGAAGCCGAGCAAGCAGCAGAAGCATCGGGTGCTGGCGCAGATCTTGCAGGGGATGGAGCATCTGCGACAGAACCGGATCATCCACTGCGACATCAAGCCAGCAAACATCCTCATGACCAGCAATCACGAGCGAGCAGAGCCCAAGATTGCCGACTTCGACGTCTCGAGGGAGCAGGAGGACCACACGAGGGACTTGATCGCGACAGTGACGGCTACACAAGTTGTTGGGACGCTCACGTACATGGCACCAGAGCTGGTGGACCCGACCATGGCCAAGCGGAGAGCGTCACACAAGTCAGACATGTACTCATACGGGTTGGTGGTGGCAGAGTTCCTGACGGAGACAGCGCGACAGGAGGGGACGCGAGACATGAGAGGAATGATTGGAGCGCTTGAGGACGAGGCTCGAGACCTCGTGGTCAAGCTGCTCGACGCCGATCCTCGCATGAGACCGTCTGCAGCTGAGGCCCTCACTCACCCGTATTTCAATCACTCCATGATCCTGGAGCGAGAGCAGGTCGAGAAGCAGCGCAAGGAGTTGCGAGAGCAGCATGACTCGGAGCTGGCAAAGGTCTTGAGCCAGCAGGAAGAGCTGGCGAGGCAGGAGAGGGAGGTCGACCTACAGAGGCAGCGGGTGCATGAGGAGGAGAAACAGCTGCTGCACCAGCAGAGGCAGCTGATGGCGCGAGGAGAGCAACTCGAATCTGAGGCCTTGTCAAGAAAGCTGCAGCTGCAGAAGGAAAAGGCTGAGATCACTCAGAAAGAAAACCAGCTGAGGAGTCAGCAGAAGAAGCTTGTGTCAGAGCTCAAGACTCTCAGTAGACAAGAGGCAGAGCTCGATCTTAAGGCAAAGGACGTCGAAGCTGAGAAACTGCTGCTCGCAGACGATCGCGCGCAGTTCCATCCTCCCGTGTACTGGCAGCGGGTCAACCTGCATGGCCCCGTCAGTGTGAGGGTGAAGGTGGACGTGACGCGGGAGTGGAAAGATAGGGTGCAAGAGCTGATGACGTCCACGTGTATCCAGCAGTACATCGGGCAGGGCAGAGACAACCAGGGCCTGACGCATAAGGGATACAGGGTAGAGCGAGTGTTCCACATCCAAGACCGCAGCCTCTGGTTACCCTTCGCTGTCCAGCGCAAGAATGCCAGCCGATGGATCATGGAGTCGAGGAGGAGCCGTCCTAAGACCAAGGTGAGTACATGGCGAGACTGGATGAAGCGCGAGCTGCTCCAAGACAAGACGAGCAACGAGGTCTTTCTCTTCCACGGCACTCGGCAGAACGTGGTTGACGCTATCCTGTCCTGCGGGCTCGACGAACGAGTCTGCAGCATGGGAGGCTTGTTCGGAGCTGGCATCTACCTCGCCGAGAACTCCAGCAAGAGCGACGAGTACTGCGTGCCGGATGCCCGAGGCATCTGCTCCATGTTCCTCGTCCGGGCAGTGCTGGGCATGCCTTATGAAGCCGAGCATCCGATGCCCAACACAAGGCTTCCTCCTGCGAGCGCGGACTCCCGTCCTCACGACTCGGTCATAGGAGTCACCCGCAGCACTCACCCGTCCGCCTTCCTGCACAAGTACCGAGAGTTCATCGTCTACGACAGGCGGCAGACGTACCCCGAGTTTCTGATCGAGTTTAGGAGAGTGTGAGGCAGGGATGAGACTCGTGGTGGGGTGAAGGGGCCCGGACAGCTTGCGCGAGGTAACAACAGGGAGCCAAGGGGCTACGATAAGTTGTTTGATTGTAATCGACATGTTACCTACTGTGCATCTGTGAAATCATTCACCCTGCCTCTCTCCTCCTGTTGGTGAACCAGTCAATCCACTGAGGATCCAGCGCGGCGACATCCGTATAGCGGCATGCGCTCTTGAACACGAGAAAGGAGCGAGCCTGAGAGAAAAGACAAACGACAGTGAGCACTGCTGTCCCCCAAGCAGAGGCGGCCACGCGCGGCCGGACCACGGGGCCCAGTAACCGCCGCAGTGGGCCCGGGGCCCGGCCGGCAGCGGCTGAGCCTGGCAGCGGGGCCCGCTCCGAGTCGCCGGGTCGGCGGGCCTTGGCCTTTGTTAGTAGCAGCAAAGATTCACCCGATAATGTGGGGGGATATGCATGGAACCTGTCATGGCAGGGGAGGATGCGAGCAACCGGCGATGGTGATGATGCGGACAGCAAGAGGCAATGAGCCTGCAGCGGCAGGGAGATGAGATGAGCGCGATGAGGTTGAGCTTGTGAATTCCTCGAAGATGAGGGATCTTGATGAGAATCGTCCACAGGATCACGCGGATCAGAGCGCAGGGGGAGGGGAAAGGGAGTCGGCACGGAGGAGGGCGTTTGGTGGTCTAGCGAGCGAGATGCAGAGGAGAAGCCCATGTTAGCTTCTGATCATAATCTTGAAGCAACTTCCAGCGGGAAGGTGCAGCTTCCGCTGCTGCTGCGATGTTACAGTTGGAACCCGGTGCAAGGCCACAGCAGCTTGGCGGGACTGGATGCCGCAAGCAGAACAATCAGGGGCGGATGCTATCAGAAAGAAATACTACATGTTACTCTGAGCCAGTCGACCTCGATAGTACGTGAGCGCACCGTCTGCATTCAATAGCTCTTGCATTAGTCGATCGTGCGCCTTTATCCATGTCAGCGCCCAAGACCATCGCGCTCTCCCTCTTGATAGTCCTTCACCGATGTTACAGCTTACCCTGCTCTCCACTTGGCTGTCGTCCTACCCTTGCAAGATGTTCTTCCTCCCATCGAGTCAAGTCAAGCTGCAGCGCGCAGGGGAGAAGCCATGTGCGGCTGCTCTTCTCCCACCTTCGTGGAGGGAATCAAACCGAGGAGCAGGAAGCAGAGGAGAACTCCAAGATCAACTACTCGAAGCTTGTGAGGCAGGCGCTCCCATGCTTGTGGCCGCAGGGACTCTTCCTCCAGCTCCGCGTTGTCCTCTGCGTCTGCGCGCTTGCGATCTCACGAATGGCGAACATAGCCATTCCTCTCATCTACAAACGAGCGGTGGACCTGTTGGCTGAGTTCACCAAGGAGGGAACGCAGAGGAGCTTCTCCCCTACGAGCTTCTCCTCTCTCCCTCCCTTCACCCGGCAGGTCTCCTGCTACATCGTCGCCTACGTGGCCCTTAAGAGCTACATGGGCCTGCAGACTGACCTCAGAAACCTGATCTTCACCCCCGTCGCCCAGCACACGCGCGAGAGGATCCAGCTCGCGGTGCTGGGGCACCTTCACGCCCTCTCTCACCGGTACCACCTGACGAGGAAGACAGGCGCGACGATCCATGTGAGGAGCTCTTCCCCTCTGGTGGGTTACAGGGCTTCTCCTGACGTACCTATGGCAGGTGATCGAGAGCGGGACCAGTAGCCTCCAGGTCTTGCTCTTGCTCTTTCCGGGTGTTGCGGGCCTGAACTTTGCAGCGCAGACGCTGCTGTCTCTGTCCGCCTTCCACGTCCTGCCGTCCCTGGTGGACGTTGCGCTTTGTGTGATAGTCTTCTCCTTGAGAAACCAGGCGAGGCCTCATTTTGCCCTCCTCGTCGCTAGATGCATGCTTGCTGCTGCTGCTGCTGCTGCTGCTTGTGATACTGATCCTGCCCGCTACAACCATCAACTTCTCTTTCTGATGAGTATCCCTGCCCTCTCCTCCATTCTTCTACATCAACAGGGAAGACTGGCCTTTGTCACCTCCATCACCGTCATCATATGCATGATTGTGACGTCAGTCGTGTCGGAGTGGAGG